GGTGGGTCCCCCCCCCCCCCCCCCCCCCCCCCATCCCCGGCTTCGTCAGCCCGTTTTCCGCGACGTGATGGTGGTTGGGTTGGGGGAGGCAAACTTTTCGGAAGCCCCCCTGGTTGGTAACTGGGGATGTGTATGATGTATGTATGTATGTATGTATGTATGTATGTATGGATGGATGTATGTAGGTGGCCTTGTGTGACCACCCCCCAGTGACAAGCGGTGTGAAATGTGTGCACGTCTTTTTTGATTACCGTATTGCACTTGCAGCCGGTCGCTCTGTTTGGGCAGCAAAGTGTTGATTGAGCAAATAGGTGGACGCGGGTTTCGTCTCCTGCGTGCTTGCTTTTCCCCTGGACATCCCGTTCAGCTATGATGTACGTGACGGGGCTTGCTTTCTTGGTCAAGAACAGGATCTCGGACGCAGACGCCTATGGAAGGGGCAGGGGGGGGGGGAATGACAAGGCAAAGTTTGCATTTGTGATACTGCTTTCGTGTCTGCATGTCAACATCACTTGGCTTCACAGCGGTTGTCCGTGTCCGTCTGTCCGTCTTATCGACGACAACTTGGGAATAATTGCTACTTTTTTGATTTAATTCTATTTCTCAATTTTAATCGATCAATTCTACGAATTTATTTCTCGATATCCCCTGCTTGGTCTTTTTTTGTTATTCCTTGGTCCTTCAACAATCAGATCAAATCAGAATCTCGATGACCGGCCTCTAGCCCTGTTGCCGAGTGCCAACGCCGGGGAACAGTCATGCGGACCGACCTGCACCCTGCATCGCACTCCCTCACTTCCCACGTGAACCCGAGGCCTGGTAGCGTAGCGTAGGTAGCCGTTTGGTAAAAGGGAAGGCGGCTGTGGTTGTGACAGGCACGCGGAGTTTGGAGAGTGTGGAGACTCCGTCGAGGGGGTGATTCAATCCCCCCAAAAAGCCTTGAACCGGATCCTTCTCCAAGGCCTCGGGTTGGTTACGGGGATACCTACCTAGGTAGACCAGACACGGACGAGGAGAATACCTAGGGAGGGAACCGGAGATAGTTGGGGGGGGGGGGGAATCCAGGGCGAAGATTGGGATATGGAACGTAGCATCTACACCTTCGCACTCGCTCTGGCGTGGGCTGATAATAATGATAATGATGGAGGCGGGGAGTGCCGCTGCCTGCTTGTATTAGTGCAGACAGGTCAAGACTCGCATTGGAGAGAGGAGACTGGGAGAGAGGAGAGAGGCCCAGCACCCCGGTTCCCCTTGTTAATGCAGCAACGTTTTGCTCGGGGAAGAGGGCAGGCAGTGTGTGCTTCCGTCCCAGCAGCAGAGCAGGGAAGCATCGTCATTCAGAACAAAAGATCCATCCTGTGAAGCATATGGCCCCTGGTCTTCCCAAGTTGCTAACTAGGTAGTGTGGCCAGCCCCACAACCGGCCACCCCCCTCAACCAGACACCCATCCACAACCCAAACCCGACCAACCCCTGTGCCTATTCCCACCCACAGCACCACCAAAAAGCATCGCATTCTGTCACAAAATAGTTCATTCTGATCGCCAAGAAGAGGCGATTCAGAAGGCGATTAATGCAGTTAAAAATAGGGGACTTTCAATATAGAAATCTACTAAAGGTTATAATATATCTTATTCTACCTTAAGTAATCAACTCTATGGCTTCTAGTTAAAGGCCTAGGCTAAAGAGAGCTTATAGCATCTTACTTCTAATTAGGAGGACTTCCTAGCTAACTAGATCTTAAATAAGGAATTAACTAGCTAGGCTCCTATCTGTGACGATCCTTGATCCCAAGAGGTAAGACTACTTCGTAGGATCGGAGGCGTGTGGGTTTATGTAAGCAGTAAGTGATGGGCGCTGCTGAGCACTGGTGGTTGATCGTAGCTAAGATAGCTTCACTCAAAGGTACTTTATTGAATGAGATACTTTGAATACTGGAGAGCTATCTAGGGTAGGTATCTAAGGGTAGTCATACGTCCGTATATATAGACAATGGATCGCGATGGCTCATGGTGATCCATTGCGATCCCTCACAGGGGATCACCGTGATCCATGGTGATGGATCACTAGAGTCCCAAGCGATCCGGTGGTCCGTGCGTTTTCTGCCTATCTTATCTTCTCTGACCGCCTTAGGAGGTGCCCCCGCGGTAACTGCGGTTGGTTTCGTGACACGATGTCCCCCTCCCAGGTCGACGTCCCGACGACCCAAGGCCGTTCTTAAGACCCGTTTGTCTGGAACTGAAACTTCTTCCGTAGGTACCCAACTCTCCCTTCGATTCTTCCTGCGCCCTTCTGACAACATGTCCTCAGGTCGCGTCGAGAAACGGAAATCTACAAAGACTTCTGAACGGATTGCACTTAGTGCGTACATCGACGCTCACGGGGTGGAGGCGATGCCGTGTTCCTATTGCTTTAAAAACAACCTGGTGTGCCGCATGGTGGAGGGCAAGTCGCGTTGCAGTAACTGTGTCCGACGAGGTCGTTCTTGCGATGGTACCAGCGTGGCTTCTTCTCGTGGGTTCTTCCCCCGATCCTCGCGCTTCGCTTCCTTCCTGACCTCTCTTCCCAGTGTCCCGCGTGCTGGCCGAGCAGCAGAAGGTTTCCAAGGAGAAGTCGGATGCTGAGGAGGAAATGTTCGTGCTGCAGACCCAGCTGCAGACGATACTGAACCGTTTGTCGCGTTTGCGCAGGCAAGAGCAATTTCTGAAAGATCGTGGGGCGGACTTGTTCCGCCGTGGTATGCAGTCTTTGGAGGAACTGGAGAAGGAGGATGAACGTGTTACTGCGGATGCTCGGGCTCTAGGGGTTGCTGATCCTTCTTCTTCCGTTGACTGGAGCGCTTTCGGTCTGGATAGTGGGCAACTGTTGGGTGGTCTCGACTTCGCTGGTGGAACTGCCGAAGCTTCCGCTGGCAATGCGTCAAGTGTTCCTTAGGTTCCCAGGTGTTTTCTGTAGCGTTATAGCCCTTCCACTTTACCAGATATTTCCCGTCCGATACCCTCTGCTCAAGTATCTGCTCGACTTCGTATTCCTCTTCTTCTGCTTCCACTTCTACTGGTTCCTTTAGCCGCACTCCCGGAGGGGCTGGTTCCAGTAGGGAAACGTGAAAAATTGGGTGAATTCGCATTGTCTTTGGTAATGACAGCCTGTAGTTGGATGTTGAAATTCTCTGTACAATCTTGAATGGTCCTAGTTTTTTATGATCCAATTTGTCGCTAGGTCGTTTTGTGGTGATGTTTTTCCGTAGTAGGTAGACCATGTCTCCCTCCGAGAAGGATGGTCCCTTCATCCTTTTTCTGTTGTAGTAATGGCGGACTCGTTCTTGGACGAACTCGAGTTCCGTTTTTAAGGATGCGTGCAACTTCTTAAGGTGTTCTGCCTTGAGAATAGCGGAGTCTGCGTTGACCTTGTCTCGTGGTTGTCGGTATGCTTCCGGGTTTCGGCCATAGTTGGCAAAGAATGGCGAAACCTTCGTTGTTTCGGTAGGGGCGCTGTTATATGCGAACTGTGCAAGTGGTAACAGCTCTACCCAATTGTCTTGATCATAGTTGACGTAGTTGCGCAGATATGCTTCTAATACCTGATTTAGACGTTCTGTCTGTCCATCGGTTTGTGGGTGGTAGGCCGTAGACAGTTTTTTGTTGGCTCCAAGTTGTCCCATCAAGGATGTGTAGAATTTTGACGCGTACGTCGGTCCTCGATCCGTGACGATCTCGTGTGGCATCCCGTGGTTGGCCACTACTGTTCGTAGGAACGTGAACGCAAGTTGTTCCGCTGTGTGTGACTCATTGAACGGAAGGAAATACGCATACTTGGTAAGTCGCTCCGGTATTACCAAAATGCTGTCGTATTCCGTTCCAGTGGTCGGGTCTTTGGACTTTGGTAGTTTGACGATAAAGTCCATAGCCACTGAATACCAGGGTTGTTCTGGTATGGGGATAGGCTGCAGTTCCCCGTAAGGTGGATGTCTCGATGCCTTGTTGCTGTTGCATTCGTGGCATGATTTCCGCACCTTCCTGATTATCCCATCAAGTCCGGGGAAGTCGTACGTTTCTCGGACTCTTGCCTTGGTCCGTGTGATTCCTTCGTGCCCATGAGCTTTGGCCTCATGTATTTCCCGCACGTATTTCTCCCTCAAGGTTGGGGGTAGGTACAATCGTCCATTATATCTGACCAGCGATCCCTTGGGTGGTTTTTCCTTGACATAGGGATCGTTGTCGTACTGCTGGTAGATTTCTTGTTCTCTTGCCGTGTCTGGCGGTGTGACGAGTTTGGTGAGTGCGATCTGTCGAGGAACGCCTCCCATGCTCCCGTCGGTTCGCATCTGCAGGATGGCTTGTGTTTCTGCAGGTATTTCTTGTTCGTGGTCTGGCCTTCGGCTGAGTGCGTCCGCTCTGCCATTTTCAGATCCTTTGCGGTATACGATTTTGAAGTTGAATTCTGAAAGAAATTCAGCCCATCGTGTTTGTCTCTTGTTGAGTTCTTTTGACGTAGTGAAGTACGTCAGATTCTTGTGGTCGGTGAACACCGTGATCGGGTGTTGCGTGCCACTCAGGTATGGTCTCCATTCTTTGAAACACTCAATAATCGCCATGAGTTCCTTGTCATGGATTTGGTAGTTGAGTTCTGGTCCGTGTAGTTTCTTCGAGAAATATGCTACCGGATGGAGTTTTCCGTCGTCGTCGCGCTGTCCGAGTTGTCCTCCGAGGGCGTAGTCGGATGCGTCTGTTTCTAGCTCGTATGGTCGATCGGGGTCGGCCATTCGTGTGACTGGTTCCTCAAGCATGTTTCTTTTGACTTGGTCAAACGCTGCTTGGCACTCTGGTGTCCATTCGAACTTGGTATTCTTTTTCGTCAGGTTGGTTAGGGGGATTGTCATTCCTCCGTAACCTTTCAGGTATCTTCGGTAGTAGTTGGCGAATCCTAGGAAGGATTGCACTTCCTTGACATTCGTGGGTACAGGCCAGTCCTTGACTGCCTCTAGTTTTGCCGGGTCCATTTGGACTTGTCCCGGTTTGATCAAGTGTCCGAGGTAAACTACCTCCTGGACGTGGAACTGACTCTTGTCCGGGTTGACCAATAGGTTCGCGTCCTGTAGGGCTTGCAGCACCTGATGGACGTGCTTCCGATGCTGCTCCAGGGTTTTGGAGTAGATCAGGATGTCATCGAGATAGACGATAACAAAGTCGTCTAAGTACTTCCGTAACACATCGTTGATCATGTTTTGGAACGAGGCAGGCGCATTCGTGAGGCCGAAGGGCATTACGAGATACTCATAGTGTCCTAGACGGGTACGAAAGGCTGTTTTCCACTCGTCTCCCTCCTTGATGCGTATGAGGTTGTAGGCACCCGGTAGGTCCAGTGCAGTGAACCAGTTGGCGCCATGTAACCTGTCGCGGAGTTCGGTGATCAATGGTAACGGATACCTGTTCTTGACCGTGATGTCGTTGAGTTGTCGATAGTCAACGCACATTCTCCATTCACCGTTCTTCTTGGGTACCCAGAGGATTGGGTATCCCGCTGGTGATTGTGACGGTCGAATATATCCCTTCCTGAGGTTCTCCTCAAGGTACTTCTTTAGTTCACTTAGCTGTAGTTCGTTCAGTCCGTAGATTTTCTGAAATTTCGGCTGCGTCCCTGGTTTGAGGGGTATCTCGTGGTCGTAGTGTGAATGTGGCGGTAGTCCTGTTTCTAATTCCTTTTGGAACAGTTTGCTGTACTGGCGGTACTCTTCTGGTATCGTCGTAATCCCTTCAGGCGTGTCCTTCTTTAGGTACAGTAGTGCTCTGTGGGTTCGTGACTCGCGTGCGTCCTGTTTCTGAGGAGCTGTAGAGGCTGAGTTCTTCTTCGATCGTTCCTGATTGGACCTCGTTGTCCAGATCAGCTGGCCAGTGAACCAATCGATGGTAGGGTTGTACTTCCGTAGCCATGGTAGTCCTAATATCACGTCGTGTCCCGCCGTGTCGGTGATATCCAAAGTGATCGGTGTTTCCTTGGAGTTAACCATAATAGAGATTCGCGACGTCTCTCGGTTGATAATTCCTCCGTCGTACTGGACCGGTTTCCCTTCTACCGTACGCAATTCGTAAGGGTCTCCCTTGTAAGCCCATGGTATGTTGAGTTCATTCACCATCCGTGGTGATATGAAGTTCTCCTGAGCTCCGCTGTCTATCAGCGCGGTAGTTTCGTATCCTCTGAGCCGTATTTTCGCCGTGAATGGCGATAGGTCGAAGGTCGCTCTCAGATCCTTCGCCTTTTTACCGTTCGTTTGGCTCCCTAACGACGGTACTCGTCGTTTTTTGGCACAGACTGGCCGGTGGCTTCTTCGCGGAGTTGCCTCACGTACTCCGTATATCGTGCCGGTTGTCTCGTGCGTGATTGTTCTTCCAAGGCGAGCATGGTAGCTTCGAGCACTTGGTCGTGGTGTCTCATTTGTTGTGCTAGCGCTTTGTACTGTCGCTTGTAGGCTAAGTCGAGGCTGACCCGTGGGTTTCGGTCGGCTTCCTCCTTGGCTCGTTCTGTCGCAAGCCGGATTCTTTGTGCCCTTTTTTCTAAGACTTCGGGGTCTGGAGCGGGCTCGTTCCCCAATAATTCGTCCAGGCTGGGCGTCGGGGTGGCAGAGGCACCCTCCCTCACCCTTTGCATTCGTTTCTGTGTCCGACTGTGTCGGAGGTGCACTTGCCCTTTCCTGGCTTCTTCTTGCGATTCCTGCTGTCGATGCCACGACTCTAGTTTCCTGAGTCGGTGGATTTTGCACACTACTGTGGTGCAATCGATCGTTGCTCTTTGTCCGAGTACACAGTCGACTGGGTAGTCGAGTCTCATCCGTAGGACGGCATATCCCTTTATCGTGTCTTGGTGGAAAATCTCCCAATACTCCAGGTCTTCTTCCAAATATGCACGTAGTGGGAATTCTTTCCACCGCCTGGGCATAAATTGGTGCTTCAGTTTCTTCGCTAGATGCCTTGAGCATTCATCGAACACACACGCAGACCATGAAATCTGGTTGTGTCGTTCGTCCTTGTAATGTAATCGTGGATCCTCCTGATCTCGTACGACCTCTCTTCTTCCTCCTGCTACTGCTTGGCGAGGAGTTATTCCTGGAAGTGCGATGACCATCTGTTCTCCGCTCGGGGCCGGTTGTTGTTGAGTGGCCATCATTCGTCCGTACTTCTCATCGTCACTTTCCGGTAGAGGAGTGAACGGGTTTTCCCCCCGGTCTTCTTTTTCTTCGAGCCACGCCCGTGTCCGCTCACTGTTGTCTTCTGTGGCTACCGAGTACGTGTCTCCGTCCCATGCGAATTCGGGTCCTTCGTCTGAGTCGTCTCCGGACCTGATCCTGTTCATTCCTGGTGGGGTATCGTTCCGTTCCTTTGGCCTGAGTAGTTCCTTCCCGGGTGACCCCCTTTTTCCTACGGCAACAACCCTTGGCTGTCCCGTGACTTTTGGGAACCATCCCGAGGCCTCCTTGCCTTGGATGTGTGCCAGGCAAGCGTCGTTATAACACGTCGTCCAGTGCTTACTGTCATGGTTGGTCTTCTGGGCCACGTTTGCTTGTCGTGTGGGCTCAGGTACTTTCCCTTGCTTTTTCTGTCGGCAGTTACGGGCAAAGTGTCCCTTCTTGCCGCAGTTGTAGCAGACCTTGTCGTCGTTCCGTTTCGCGGCATCGAGTTCCATGGGTCCCGCGTGCTGCGTGGATCCCCAGGCCGTAGTGCCTTTTGCTCGTACCACTTTTCTTCCTTGGTTAGGGATCCTTGGGTGATACACCCGCTGTTGCTGTCCCTTGCGTTCCATCCGTCGCTCATAAAGTCGGTCGTCGATCCGGACTGCGATTGCGACGTACTGCGCGAATTCCTTGGGTCGGTCTATCTTGGCGA